CAAAATTTATTATGGTTTATAATGGCAAATGATACTTTGAATATTACATGTTAATAACTTGATTGGAATTATAACCTTGAATTGACAGTTTGATACTTTGAAAATTTTGAGCCAGCCCTACCCCCAAGGGCTGTAGGGTGGGGCTCAAAGGAGTCAGTGTGCTAAAATTTCTTCATTTTCCTTGTTTAGAATCAGAGGTGCTAGTTTCAAATCCTTTTTAGTCTGAAATCTGTATGCTAGATATTGAATAAGGTGGTTTTATTGTTTTTTTGTCACTTTGAATAATATTTCTGTTCATGTTAAAAACAAAATCAACTCTCTGTATAAATATATCAGGTGACCGTTAAGGCCCATGGGCCTCTTGTTTGACATATTTTTCAGATGCGTGTTTGCTAATAAACTTGATCATAATTTGTTAAATATTACAAAAACCTGTTACACCAGATCAAAACGAGACTTGAACGTGGTTGAAACCTCAGAAGAGTACATCCTTAAGTTTGTAGCATATTCATATGCATGATATAATGGATTAGATAGCATTCTTGTTGTTTCATATTTAATCAGAAATTCATCTATCAACTCTTTCTAGTAGAACTATTTAAGATTAATTTGTTTGGGTGTTATTATTAGAAAAGCATGCTCTGAAAGATTATAACGTCAACAATTAAATAACAGTTTCTTTTGAGAAAATGAAAATATGTTATACAGTTGTTAGAGCTTTTGTCAGGACGCAGCGTCCATTGACTGTCCATCTTCCTTCTACTTTTTCCTTTAAACCGCTACTAGTCCTTAACGGTTAATGGATTTTTACCAAATTTGGTGTGGAATATCATTGGCCAACGAGTTCTCAATTTGTATAAACAGATGGGGGAATGGCCCACCAGGGGGCAGAGTGACAAGGCGAAATAAGGTTAACAAAAGTAAATCTTCAAAATCTGCTTCTGAACCAATAGAAAGATTTTGACCAAATTTTTTCAAGATCATCCTAGGACAAAGGGCCTCAATTTTGTTAAAAAAAACGAGGGTGTGCCCCCCCCCCCCCCCCCCGGGAGCAGAGGGGCGGGGAGAAATAGAGTAAAAGCTTTCTCTTTCGGTACAAATGAAGATATTTTAACTAAATGTGGCCTGAAGCATGCTAAGGGTTAAAAAAAAAATCAATTTGTAAAAATTGTATAAATTGAGACTTTGCCCCCCCCTTCAGGGCAGAAGGGTGGATGTGAGGCCCAAAAGGGGAAGTAAAGAAAAAAAATAAAAAATCTCAGCAGGTTTTGAATTGAAAATAAAATACCATGTGAGCTATTGAGGCCCCTGGACCTCTTGTTAAAAACAGGAATGGATGTGGCCCCACTGGGGGCAGATGGGTGGGGCCAAATATGGGAAATAGAGGTGAAACATTTAAAGTCCTTCTTCTACCACCGGTATTAAGGGATTTCATCTCAATTTGGCCTGGAGCATTCTTGGGCCAAGGGACTCAAATTTGTATAAACAGTGGGTTTTGACCCCCTGGTGGCAGAGGGGCGGCGCCCAATAGGGGAAATAGGTAAAACCTTTGAAATCCTTCCTCTACCGTAGGGATTAAGGGATTTCATCCCAATTTGGTCTGGAGTATCTTTTGGCCAAGGGCATAATAGAGGTAAAACCTTTAAAATTCTTGTCAACTTAACAAAGATACAGTACTCCAGATTCAATGTTCTGTCCCTTGTCAGCTTAACGAACTGGGATTGTTATTTTAAGAAAATAGTTTACACTGGTCAGATGTCAGATAATCAAGAATCCTACATACAGTGAAAATTAAAATTACCCCCCCCCACACACACACACACACACACACACACACACAAATCCCTGCCATGACAGGCTGGACACACCATTAACTATACAGAGACTAGATTTGATAGTATTCAACTCATGAAACATAATACTGATATTGTCCTAAATTTAGCTGTAATCTCTCTTGTAAGCTGTCAATGCTGTGAACATTATTAAACTGGTATCAAAACACAACATGAAATCTCATGACCTTTTTTTAACAAAAATGTATAAATATGTATATAATTTATATATTTTATAAAATATAAATAAAAAACATTTAATTAAGAGATACATTTTACAGGCATAACAGTTGGTAAAGAAGCAGTGATATATTTATTGATTAAGGTGTGGAGTGTGAGTAGCAGTTTTAGCAGTGTGTATGTCTAATCTGACAATTATCCTGTTACTATTTCCTTTCTTGTAATTCTGTCTTAGACTCACTTTATAATAATTGATCTGTATGTTTCAGGTGAAAATATTCCCAGATTGCCTTTCCTTGGGTAAGTGACTCCTCATACCAGAATGGTATAAATAGAAACATGTGTTTTTAATTACATTATAACATACTTGTAGCCAAAATGAGCAGGTAATGTGTCTCAATAATCCGGCAGCTGAAAAGGGCATAGCAGTTCATGTCAGGCAGTTACCATTTGTTAGTGTTAAATATTGTTAAACTTGAATATGTTTCTTGAAAAAAAGAAATGCATATAACATCTTTTAAGTTAACTTACATGAGATGAATTAGTCATATTATGACTTTGACCTTTTGTTGGAGATCAACATAACTTTCTTACTTGTACATAGAAGCAGCTTCCTGTTTTGCATCTTAAAACACTGGGGGTTTAGAGGGAGGTAGGATCTACTGTGTGTTGTTAGTCATTGCTAATTAATGTGTTGTGACCCTGGCCACAAGTTGAAGCTAGCAGCCCTCAGTAATAAATATATGATAGGTGTACATGCCTGCTGGGACCCCAAGTATATCACAGGAATAGCAGACATATTTACATGGAATCTGTGTTGAAGTTCTTATTTGGGTTAGTGTTCTATTTTTTGTGTAAATCTATCTTCTGAAATTGAACTCTTTTGATAATGATGTTTAAATACTTTTACATCAGAGTAATATTTTATCACATCAAGGACAATGTTAAATTGAAGGTATATGTAGTAAAAATAATCTCCTGGGGTTTCCATGTTCAACCCTTGATAATCTCAAGTGATGAAATGTAAACAATTACATCACTTTGAATACACTTATTTGAATTTATTGACAGATTTGAGAAGACAGGAACTCATGGGAAATCATCTCACAATAATGGTTCCAATGAACGTAAGTATAAGGGAATAACCTTGATGGATTACTTATTATTATACCCCCCACAACCAAGTTAGGGGGATATACTGGAATAAGCTTGTCTGTCCATCTTTCTGTCTGTCCATCCGTCCATAGAAAAAGTTTGTACGGACAACTCCTTCTAAAGTAACTGACCAATTTCAACAAATATTTCCAGATATGATAACTAACACCTGAAGTTGTGCATCCAGGTATTTTTTTCTCATTCTGACCATTTTTAAGAAGTTATGGCCCTTTGTTGATAAAATCCTGAAACTTTTTGTCTGGACAACTTCTAAAGTTAGGGACTGATTTCAACGAAAATTTCAAGATATGATAGCTATCACCTGAATTTGTGTATCCAGATATTATTTTTAGCTGGAGGGCCATGGTGAGCTTATGCCATACTGCACATGGTGAGCTCATGCCATACCGCAGCGTCCGTCGTCCTTCGTCCGTCCGTACATCTGTCCATCCGTCCGTAAACTTTTCCTTTAAAACGCAACTTGTCTTGAACAGCCAGGTAGATTTGGACAAAATTTGACCTGGAGCAACCTTAGGCCAAGGGGACTCAATTTTGTATAAACAATGGCTGTGGCCCTCCTGGGGGTGAGGGGTGGGGCCAAATAGGGAAAAAGAGGTAAACCTTTAAAATCCTTTTTCTACCATACAGATTAAGGGATTTTATCCAAATTTGGTCTGGAACATCCTTGGGCAAAGGACTCTCAATTTTATATAACCAATGTGGCCCCCCTGGAGGCAGAGGGACGGGGTTCAATAGAGGAATAGAGGTAAAATCTTGAAATGCCTTCTTCTTTCGTAGGGATAAAGGGATTTTATCCTAATTTAGTCTGGAGCATCCTTGGGCCAAGGGGACTAATTTGAAGGGCCAAGTGAGCTTATGCCATGGTGCAGCGTCCGTCGTCCGTCCGTCCGTCCGTCCGTCGTCAATATTTCACTTTAAACAACTTCTTCTTAATAACCAAAAGGCCTAGGGTGATGATATTTAGCCAGAAGCTACCTAGGATGAAGGGCAACCAAGTTTGTTCAAATTAATGACTTTCAACTATTTTCAAGGTCACAGGGGTCAAATATGTTAAAAACTTTAAACAACTTCTTCTGAATAACCAAATTGCCCAGAGTGATGATTTTTGGTTAGTAGCATGCTGGGATGAAGGGCTATCAAGTTTGTTCAAATGAATGACCTTTACATATATTCAAGGTCACAGGGGTCAATTATGTTTAAAACCTTTAAACAACTTCTTCTTAATAACCAAAAGGCCTAGGGTGATGATATTTGGCCAGAAGTAAACTAGGATGAAGGGCTACCAAGTTTGTTCAAATAAATGACCTTCAACTATTTTCAAGGTCACAGGGGTCAAATATGTTTAAAACCTTTAAACGACTTCTTCTAAATTAGCCAAAGGCCAAGGGTGATGATATTTGGTCATTAACAGGCTGGGATGAAGGGCTACCAACTTTGTCAAAATGAATGACTTTCGCCCATATTCAAGCTCACGGTGGTCAATATATGTTTAAATCTTTAAATGACTGGTTCTGTATAACCAATAGATCCATGGTTATGATATTTTGCCAAAAGCATGCTGGGTTGGAAGACTTTAAACTCTGTTCAACCTAATGTCCTTGTTCGACATTCAAAGTCACACGCGTCATATGTTTAAATCTTTTAATAGGTTCTTATGAATCTTGGTCCAAAGGACCAAGGTGAGCTTATGCCATACTGTTGCATCCTTCGTCCGTACGTCAACAATTTCTTGAAACGAATTCTTCTTCTTAACCACTGATTGGAATTCAACTAAATTTGACTGGAAGCATCCCTAGGGGGTGGGGATTCAAAATTGTACAAATGACTGGGCTGACCCCCCAGGGGGCTGAGGGGCGGGGCAAAAAGGGGTCAATTTGGCAATATTGCTTTAAGCAACTTCTTCTCTGGAACTAAGAAGTGGATATCAACCATATATGACTGGAAGCATCCCTAGGTGGGGGGGATTCAAAATTGTACAAATGATGGGGCTGAGGGGTGGGGCAAAAAGGGGACAATTTAGCTAAACTGCTTTCAGCGACTTCTTCTCTGGAACTGAGAGATGGATATCAACCATATTTGATTGGAAGCATCCCTAGGTGGTGGAAATTCAAAATTGTACAAATTTTTGGACTGACCCCCCAGGGGGCTGAGGGGCGGGGCCAAAATGGTGCAATTTGGCTATATTGCTACAAACGACTTCTTCTGTAGAACTATGCCATGGATATCAACCATATTTGACTGGAAGCATCCCTAGGTGGTGGGGATTCAAAATTGTACAAATGGTTGGGCTGACCCCCCAGGGGGCTGAGGGGCGGGGCAAAAAGGGGGCAATTTGGCTATATTGCTACAAACGACTTCTTCTGTAGAACTATGCCATGGATATCAACCATATTTGACTGGAAGCATCCCTAGGTGGTGGGGATTCAAAATTGTACAAATGGTTGGGCTGACCCCCCAGGGTGCTGAGAGCGGGGCCAAAAGGAGTCAATTTGGCTATATTGCTTTAAGCGACTTCTTCTCTGAAACTAAGAAGTGGATATCAACCATATTTGACTGGAAGCATCCCTAGGTGGTGGGGATTCATAATTGTACAAATGATGGGGCTGACCTCCAGGGGGCTGAGGGGCGGGGCCAAAAGGAGTCAATTTGGCTATATTGCTTTAAGCGACTTCTTCTCTGAAACTAAGAAGTGGATATCAACCATATTTGACTGGAAGCATCCCTAGGTGGTGGGGATTCATAATTATACAAATGGTGGGGCTGACCTCCAGGGGGCTGAGGGCGGGGCCAAAAAGGGGGCAATTTGACTATATTGCTATAAACGACTTCTTCTGTAGAACTATGCCATGGATATTGATCATATTTGGTTGGAAGCATTCATGGGAGACAGGGATACAAAATTGTACAAATGGTGGGGCTGACCCCTCGGGCTAAGGGTTGGGGCCAAAAAAAGTGTATTACTTGGAAATGGTTGAGATCCCCACCATATAACCATGGTATACAATTGCTAAGTATAAAGAGAAGAATGCACATTTGCTTCCAGGATGGCCACAGGGTCTGGCCCCACCCTTGGAGACATAGTCCCTGGGCCATAACTTTAAAACTGTCGAGATCTCCACCTCAAAACTATATATACAAATGCTGGGCATAAAAAGATGAATGCAGTCAGGATATCAGAATAGCCCCATGGGTCTGACCGAACCCCTAGGGACCTAGTTTGTTAGTCACAGCTTGGAAACAGTTGAGATCCCCACCCCATTACCATACATAAAATTGCTGGGCATGAAAAATCTAATACAGATATGCTACAAGGATTGGCCTTGGGGTCTGGCATATTCCCTTAATCTCACTCGGAGAATATTTTGCCATGATTGCTTTGGTGACCAGGTGAGCGATACAGGCCCTCCGGGCCTCTTGTTTTGTATAAACATTAGATGTGGCCCCTCTGCACTGTGGCCCCTCTGGATGCAGAGAGGCAGGGCACAAAAGGGGAATTTGAGGTTAAAATCATTAAAATCCTTCTCCTTCTGTACCATAGGAGGGATTTTATCCACATTTGACCTGGAGTATCCTTTGACAAAGGGGACTAAATTTTGTTTAAATGGAGGGTATTGTCCCTCTTGGTGAAGAGTTGTGGGGCCCAATAGGGGAACTTGAGGTTTAAGTCTTCAAAATCCTTTTTCCTCTGTACCATTTGATGGATTTCATCCACATTTCACCTGGAGCATCTTTGAGTGAAGGGAAAACAAGATTTGTATAAATGGAGGGTGTGGCCCCTTTGAGTGCAGAGTTATGGGGCCCAATAGGGGAATTTGAGGTTGGGAATAAATGGTGGATTGACTCCCCCTGGGGTGATTGCAAATTCTTCAAAATCCTTCTTCACCTTTAGGAATGACAGGATTTTGTCCAAATTTGGGATGAAGCACCCTTTGGTGAAGGGGAATTTATTTTATATAAACAGTGGGTCTGACCCCCTTGGGGCAGAGAGATGGGGCCCAATAAGGGATATAGAGGAATAGCTTTCATATCGTTCTTCTTATTTTGACCAAATTTGAACAGAAGCATCATATTTGGAAGAGGAATGAATTTTGTAAAAATGGTTTATTTGAACCCCCTGGGGGGTAGAGGGGTGGGGCCAACAAAGGAAAATAGAAAAAATAGCTTTGAAATCCTTATTCTTCTGTACGAATGACAGGATTATGTCTTAATTTGATCAAAAGCATTCTAAGTTAAGGACAAAGGTCTCGGTCATTACGTTCAATGGTCAAAGTCAAATTTTGCAAATTTTCACTGATGAACTTTTTTTTATGACATTATGAAGCAAAGTTGGTCCGAATTAAACAAAGAGACGCACTGAGTTAAAATGTCAAGGTCAAAGGTCAAGGTCATTAGGTTCAAGATCAAGGTCAAATTTTGCATATTTTCACTGATGAACATTTTGTATGACATGATGAAGCAAAGACGATCAGAATTAAACAAAGAGTCATCTGACCAAAGGTCAAGGTCATCGTATCAGCGGTCCATGTCACTGGGTCAAAGGTCAAATTTTGTATCTTTTCACTAATGAGCATTTTATGACATTATGAAGCAAAGTTGGTTGGTATTAAACAAAGAGTCAACTAACCAAAGGTCAAAATCACTGGGTCAAAGGTAAAGGTCAAATTTTGTATCTTTTCACTTATGAACATTTTGTTATGACACTGAAGCAATGTTGGTCAGAATTAAACAAGGAGTCAACCGACCGGAGGTCAAGGTTACTTGGTCCAATGGTTCAAGGTCAAGGTCAAGTTTTGTATTTTTCACTGATGAATATTTTGTTATGATATTAGGAAGCGAAGTTGGTTGGAATTAAAGAATAAGTCAACTGACTAAAGATCAGGGTCACTGGGTTAAAGGTCAAGGTCATTTATGTCCAAAGGTCAAAGACGAAGTGGATCTCTGACTTTGACCCTGGCTCTTGATGGGGGAGGTATTCAAGGTGAAATAAAACAGATCAAAGCTAACAAATGAGTATTGCATCGGTATTTACATTTCTGTTAGCCCAGCAAATATGGAGGTGGAAGGAAACAGAACTCACATCAAAGTACATGTGAAATGTATATTTTGCTTCCTTGCGATTCTTTTTGAAGTCCAAATGTCAAACATCAAGCTCTGCTAAATGGGTAGATTCCTTCTTGATGATTATGTGGGATATATTACCACAAGATGGGGCCCTTACAGACCTTTCAGTGTTCTAGTTGCAAATACAAATATATGCTTGTGAACTGTCTCTGTAGTACAGATGTACAGTACTAGAGCCTGCTTGTCAACTGTCTCTGTAGTATAGGTGTACAGTACCAGAGCCTGCTTGTCAACTGTCTCTGTAGTATAGGTGTACAGAACTAGAGTCTACTTGTCAACTGTCTCTGTAGTATAGGTGTACAGTACCAGAGCCTGCTTGTCAACTGTCTCTGTAGTATAGGTGTACAGTACTAGAGCCTGCTTGTCAACTGTCTCTGTAGTATAGGTGTACAGAACTAGAGCCTACTTGTCAACTGTCTCTGTAGTATAGGTGTACAGTACCAGAGCCTGCTTGTCAACTGTCTCTGTAGTATAGGTGTACAGAACTAGAGCCTGCTTGTCAACTGTCTCTGTAGTATAGGTGTACAGAACTAGAGTCTACTTGTCAACTGTCTCTGTAGTATAGGTGTACAGTACCAGAGCCTGCTTGTCAACTGTCTCTGTAGTATAGGTGTACAGAACTAGAGCCTGCTTGTCAACTGTCTCTGTAGTATAGGTGTACAGAACTAGAGCCTGCTTGTCAACTGTCTCTGTAGTATAGGTGTACAGAACTAGAGTCTACTTGTCAACTGTCTCTGTAGTATAGGTGTACAGTACCAGAGCCTGCTTGTCAACTGTCTCTGTAGTATAGGTGTACAGTACTAGAGCCTGCTTGTCAACTGTCTCTGTAGTATAGGTGTACAGAACTAGAGCCTACTTGTCAACGGTCTCTGTAGTATAGGTGTACAGTACCAGAGCCTGCTTGTCAACTGTCTCTGTAGTATAGGTGTACAGAACTAGAGCCTACTTGTCAACTGTCTCTGTAGTATAGGTGTACAGTACCTGAGCCTGCTTGTCAACTGTCTCTGTAGTATAGGTGTACAGAACTAGAGCCTACTTGTCAACTGTCTCTGTAGTATAGGTGTCTGTCTCTGTAGTATAGGTGTACAGTACCTGAGCCTGCTTGTCAAAAAATAGACTATGTAGATCAGCAGTGCGAACTGTTTCCTTAATTATAGTGATGCGGTCAAAAATCAACTTTAAATGCTAGTGGGGTCAAATGTCAACATAGGTTAAACGCCTTAACAATCTTCTTCTCAAGTTCCATAAGGCCAACGGTCATAATACTTTGCCAGTAGGTACCTGGGATAGAGTGCTATAAAGTTTCCTCATTAAAATGATCTTAACCTACTTACAAGGTCACAGGGGTCAAATATGTTAAAAACTTCGAACAACATTATCCTAAGAACCATTTGGACTAGAGTCATGATCTTGAGTATGTTATGTAGACCAGCAGTGCGAATATTTTTTCTTTGTTACAGTAATGAGGTCAAAGATCAAGTTCATGGCTAGTCGTTGTCAAACGTAAACATGGGTTAAAAGCCTTAACAATCTTCTTCTCAAGTTCCATAAGGCCAACGGTCATGAAATTTGGCCAGTAGGTACCTGGGATAGAGTGCTAGAAAGTTTCCTCATTAAAATGACCTTGACCTAGTTTCAAGGTCAAAGGGGTCAAATATATTAAAAACTTCAAACAACAATATCCTAAGAAGCATTTGGTCTAGAGTCATGATACTTTGAGTTGGATATGTTATGTAGACCAGCTGTGAATCGTTTTCTTTATTACAGTGATGAGGTCAAATGTCAATTTTAATTGCTAGTCGGAGTCGAAGTTCAACGTGGTTTAAAATTAAAATTTGAGAAATTTCAAACAACAATATCTGAAGAAACGTTTAAAAGATGTTAAAATGTCTTGTGTTCTAGTTACCAAATTTGGTCTGAAGTTACCTATATGTCAGTTTCATGTAACAAAAGAAACAGGTGAGCGATACAGTCTGTCTGGGCCACTTGTTTCAACTTTCATAAGTCACTCTTGTTGGCCCAGATGGAATTGTGCAGAGAGTGTTAATGTAGGAGGAAACCAAAGTACCCGGAGAAAACCTGTGTTGTTGGGCAGGTGACCTCAAACAGATTAATATTGTGTTGTTTGAAAATATAGAATATTTAAGTGTATTTTGTCTTTGTGGTTCAATCATCCTGAAAGCTTATCATTTTAAAATTACTCTGATTTCATGTATGTTTTCTAGCTAGTATTTGTTTGTTTTACCAGGGATATCAAACTATGATTTCATGTATGTTTTCTAGCTGGTATTTGTGTGTTTTACCAGGGATATCAGACTATGCAGAGATAGTGGAGGATGAAGGAGATTACAGTACCCCAGCAGGTAAAACACCACAGAGATAGGTGTTACACATATATACTGGTCATTGTTCATTTACATGTCTCATAGTCATATACTGTTAGTCAAACCAGGGTCAGTGGAATGAGGTACTTAGTATTTAGACTTAAAGATTTGTCAACTGTTAATTGAGAAAATTATATGAGCTTTATTTTTAAAATACCTTCGAAACGTATTATTTGAAACAAACTGTATTTTTACGTCCTGTTTTATAAATAGAAAAATCCTGAAGTTAAACATTTGTAATCTATAAGAGAATTTAACTGACCATGCTTTGCTTCTAAGAGATCTCCTATGTGTATTGTATATTTTGTGTAAAATGGTGATATATAGAGAATAATACATGCCTTTTTCCATATCACACCCAAGACTCCAATATCCAGGGTGTGATATGGAAAAAGAGGTGTTTTATTCTGTTTATTACATACTTACTAATAAAATAGGGATAGATCTACTATCTTATGATCTATTTTTCTTTTGAAATATTGAAAAACGAAATATTCATGAAGTGCTAACCATAAACACAACAATAACTCGATTAGAATATATTTGTTACATTTGAAGTGATTTTGATTCAATGTCAAAGTTTCCCTAATTTAATCTGAATCGCTGTCCAAATGCTATTGGCAAGAGACTCCAATGTTCGCTCCCCCATTCCAGGGTTGCCAACCTCTTAGGAGTCCAGTGTGGGAGATCTCCCTCCACTGGGTTTTTCAATGTGTGAGACTTTTGACGGCGTCGCGGCGTAACGTCGTTTTGGGTGTTAATTAAGATAACATTTACAAATGTATCAAACAAATCCTGGCTTTCTCTGACTACTATAACATCTGCATTGTTGATATTTTCACTTCAAGATCTTTGTAGGAAAATAAAACAAAACATTTTTTGCAGATATATAAAAGATTTTTATTTATTACACAAAAAAAACTGACATCAGAAATGCAACACATCATATAATCAAAGGCCTTTCTTGTAACGATTCCACCCTTGCCTAGAACAGGTAGCAGTCTTTTTTCTGTATTTCCATGACCTGTTTAAAAAACAGTTCATATCAAAAGTAAGAACTTTACCATAGTAACATGAAAAAGTTCATAACATGAAAATATGATAATTTGACAGTGAAATTTTTTTTACAATTACTTCTGGCTACTATTCTAAGCAACAAATAACAGTAAGACCCTTAGCATTTATACCACGTTTGCAAAATCCGATCACGTTATTTTTTCATCGCATCAGATTAAAATTGTTTATTACTACAAGTCTCTGGTGTGTGAAATCATATACGCCACTTTACTGCAAAAAATAACTTCGAACTTTTCATCAGCCATCAGCGGCTGTCTGTTCGTGATTCAAGAATCGTTTTCTCTTAATATTTGTGAAGGCAGGGCCTAAAAACAATCTCCTAATACACGACGATATTATTTAAAACTTTCTTTTTCTGTGCGATAGGTACGATCAATATTTAGTTTACGAGTGAAAACAACTTGATTGATTGATTGATAGGTTTTATGTCCGCTTCACTACCGAGTAGTTCGGTATAATTATCCACCAGACGATTGTGAAAACAACTCACCTTACGATATATTACATTCGTTTCCACCGGATGTAAAGCGACACCTCTCGTCAGCTCACTTCCAAAGCACAACGTTGCAATAAGAGTTATTCCCCTTTGTACGACCCAAGCTAAAAATTGCCGATTTATGGCTTCGCGTGGGATAGAGGGAGAATATTTTCGAATGCGTGAGATTTATACCTCACGTGGCGTGAGGATTGTTTCAGTGTGAGTAAGGACGTTTTTGCGTGAGTTTTTGTCTCACGCCGTGGGAGTTGGCAACCCTGCCATTCGTCGACGTTTTTCAGCATCAGCCATATTTGAACTGTTGTTAAGGTTCAGAACGACGTTGTTGGTGATAGGAAGAGGGCGGAAACGGGTTTGGGGTTTGATACCTGTTTTTGGGTGTGATACGGCGAGGGCTGATATTAGTTAGAGCAGTTGTGTCGTATCGCATATACAAAAATCACATATCTATAGTAAGTATGTAATAAATATGATTAATATTGTGTAATCTGGTGGTATAGGTTTTGTGTACGCATCAGACAGTATATATATAGATGTTGTAATCATTTTCTTTCCAAGCTTGAATGGTCTCATTTGGATTTCTTTCTTTATATTTATACATGTACATAAAAGGAAACAAAGAATGATGAAGGTGTAATATGAAAGTCATCTAACTACTCAGGATAATGTTTGAAAAAGTCATCTGACTACTCAGGGTAATGTTTGAAA